TTGCCATCTAGTCAGTTCATCTAGTGTTTCATGTGTCCAAGCTCCGGAAGTATCACGGAGATCCATCCAATGTGTTAAATTTTAATTTAGTCCAGTTAAACAAGGATTTGACTTATGAGGAGGAGCCGCTGGCTATCTAGCTCGGCAAGTCCGACAATTGAGGTCTAAGAGTTATCCTTCAGTTCGAGTGCAATGGAGAGGTTAGTCGATCGAGGCATCCACTTGGGAGTCTGAGTCAGACATGCGGAGTAGATATCCCAACCTTTTCACCGGTCCAGAACTTTTCTATGTCCGTTCGAGGATGAATGATTATTTTAGAGGTGGAGAATATGATTAGAGTTTTAAACCCTAATTTTGTATTTTGAAACCTCAAATATCTCATTTAAGCCTTTCTTGATTTGCGTGCGTAGTCTGTATCTTTTTTTACGGGAGGCTTTTATGTTAAAAATTGATAAAATGTGAAATTATACCTTAAAAACTCATTTGAGTTGACTTCGGTCAACATTTTGAGCAAACGGACCCGGATCCGTGTTCTAACGGTCTTGGTGGGTCCGTATTGTGATTTGAGACGTGGGCGTGCCCGGAATCGAATTCGGTGGTCCCTAGTTCGAGTTACCGCATTTTCTCAAAAATTTGAAGTCTAAAGTTTTAATGAATATAAAGATTTAACCAAAGTTTGACTTTAATTCTATCGGGTCTTAATTTTTGTTCTAGAGCTTGGTATATGCTCATTTCTATATTTATGACTTGTCTGCAAAATTTAGTGAAAACGAAGTTAGTTTGACGTGATTTGGACGTCCAGTTGTTGAAATAGAAGTTCATGAGTATCATTGAAAGTTTCATTTAATTTGGTGTCTGATTAATTGTTCTATGTATTATTTTGGCAATTTGATCGCGCGAGCAAGTTCGTATGGTCTTTTTGGACTTGTGTGCATGTTTGGTTTGGAGCTCCGGGGGCTCGGGTGAGTTTTGGATAGACTACGGAGTGAATATAGACTTAGAATTCATAGCTAATGCATTGTGTTTCTGGTGTCTGTTGCAGATCTCACATTTGCAAGATCTGGCTCGCATTTGCAAAGAACCTTTACTTTTTCGATCCTGGGCATGGCTGGTGGGTCCTCGCATTTGCGAGGTAAAGTTCGCAATTGCGAACTTGCCACTTCCACTTTTGTGAAGGTAGAGTCGCATTTGTGACTCAGCACATTTTTTATAATCTTCGTAATTGCGAAGAAAGGTCCGCATTTGTGAGGGCATCAGTGTTCGCATTTGCGATCACTAGGATTCTTAGAGGAGTTTGCAAATGCGACCTCTTTCTTGAAATTGCGATGTTCGCAATTGCAAACAAGATATCGCAATTGCGACATCTGTAACTAGGTAAAAGCTGAGTTAGACGGGATTTCTCTCATTCTTTCAAACTTTCAAACCTAGAAACCCTAGAAGCAATTTTTCCAAGAGCTCTTCTTCCCCAATTCATTGGTAACTAATTCTAACCTACTTTCTTTCAATTACCCAATACATTTTCAACTTAAAATCTAGGATTTTCATGGTAGAAATTGGGGATTTGGGTAGAATTAGGGTTTTTTATAAAATTAAAATTTCGACCTCAAATTGAGGTCGGATTTCAAAACAAATTACATAACCGGGTTCGGGGGTGAACGAGTAATCGGGTTTTGGTCTGAATTTCGAGTTTGGGCCAAGGGAGCCCAATAATGACCTAAATTGAACCTTTTTCATTCTTGGGTAGTTCCTAAGGCTTATTATGAATCGTTCGGTTGATAATTTGTTAGATTTAGTTGGTTCAGAGGCTTGTTCGAAAGACAAAGCTGTGGTTGAGCTTTGAGTCAATTTTTGAAGCGAGGTAAGTGTCGTGGTTAACCTTGACTTCAGGGATTAGGACTTGTTTTCCTATTTGCTACATTTTTAAGTGTTGGGTACAACGTATATGTGAGGTGACGAGTACTTATGTATTGTTGTTGGGTTAAAGCATGCGGGTGGGACTTGTTACTTGTAATTTACTTTCTTCTTTGATCATGATATCCATGCTTAGACTAGTTTATTATTAAATTGATCGTTCATTCCGCATTTATGAGTTATTTGTGATAATTGAGTATTGTATCTGAAGTTGAGGTTGGTATTGTGAAACCATTATTGACGTAAGGCTTGTTCTTACTTATTCTATCTCCCTATTGTTATATGTTCATTGTTACATGGTAAGGTAAAGTGTTAAATCACGAAGGGTGACGTCGTACCGAGTGTTGTTGCAATTATTGATTAATACATGATGAGGAAGAGAGTTAAAACATGAAGGGTGATTTCGTGCAATATCTATTGTTTCATGATGAAATTGAGAGTAAAAGCACGAAGGGTGATGTCGTACCGTATTTATCATTTTATGGAGAGATTGAGAATAAAAGCACGAACGGTGATGTCGTTCCATTATTACTGTTTCATGGTGAGGTTGAGAGTAAAAGAACGAAGGGTGATGTCGTACAGTTTTTTTTCGATATGTATATCCGTTTCATTTGCTGAAGGTTTATTGATTGTTTCATGTAGTCATTCCTTGTTGTAGTTACCATATCTTGTACCCTTTTCGCATGTCCCTTCCCAATACTACATGTTTAGCCTTCATTTGTTGTTATGTTATATGTATATTTCTGTATGTACAGGTTTAATTACGTGGGTGTCCTGTCATAGCCTCGTCACTACCTCGTCGAGGTTAGGCTCGACACTTAGGGAGTACATTGGGTCGATTGTACTCATATTATACTATGCACTCCATGTGCAGATTTCGATACTGGTCCTAGCTATCCGTGAGGCGCATCAGCTTAGATTAGCGTATTTTGAGAATCGAGGTAGATCTGATGGCGTCCGCAGACCTTGAAGTCCGCTTTCCTCTTTCCCTGTTTACTGTTTATTTCATTCGAGACAGTTGTACTTATTTATGACCTTACTTGTAGAACCTCTAGAAGCTCGTGTACTTGTGACTCCAGATTCGGGTTGTACTAGATATTGGATTATTATGTTATTTCGTACTTTATTTTGGATTTCATTATTGTTTAATTGGTTAAATTGTTCAAAGTGTTTAAATTTGATAAAGAATTACTCTAACGATGACTTGCCTATTAAGTGAAATGTGAGGATCCATCACGATCCCGAAGGTGGGATTTCCGGATCGTGACAATTATGATAGATTTTTTCTATTTTAGATAAGAAGTGAAATAGGGAGGGAGAAAGCAATAATCACCAGAGTGAGAAGAGGGAGGTGGTGGTGGTAATAATAGTGGTGGCAGTATTGGAGAAAGGTTGTGGCTATGACAAAGTGGCGGAGTAGAAGAGAAAACAAAAAAAATGAGAAGAGAAAAAGAAAAAAGAAAAGAAGAGAAGAAAAAGAAAAAGAAAAAGAAAATTAGAGGCTTCTCACTCTTTGAGAAAGTGAAACACGCTCTCTTTGCTACCTCATTACTTCGGGAGGTAATAGTTCCCTTTCAAACAAGTTGGAAAGATAATAGGACCCTGTAAAGATAACATGTATAATTAAAAATTCGGTTATAATTCAGGGGTATACTTTTGCATTTTTCTAATTTCTGCTACATAGATATTTGTATATTTTTGTGATTGTGATAAAGATTCATCTAACAAGTTTTCCTTGGTCTTTGTAGCGTGAATCGACATGGAGTTTAAAAAATTAAAATTTTTTGAAATTTGTTGCCTTAAAAGAGTAATAACATTTGTGTAACTATAAGACTTTTGAAACTTTTAGTTTGAACATGCTATAATATTCTTGTGACTATAAAAGTTTCTTTTTATGTATAAAATGAGAATTTAAAGTTAAATTATATTCAAGTATATAAATGTGTTACTTTTGTTGTATAGACTAAAAAAATAATGTCACATAAACTTGAACGAGAGAGTATTTAGTGTGCCATTTTGACTTGTAATTTAGGTGAAACAGATTAAATGCGAAACATGTACACCAATACTCCAAAACGTAGGTATATAATTTGCAATATCTATGAGAGTGTTATTATTTTACTTTTGAATGATGAGGTAATCTGATCGTTAATACCACTATGATTATTTACAGGAAAAAAGAAAGTTATACCAGGACGGTGATCTTATATATTATACCAATGATGCAAAATGCATCTTTTGCGACAAAGGGTTGTGATGGAATGAATAGAATCTCTCCACCCTTAATCATACTTCTCGCGTTCGAAATTTAGGAATTGAAATTTTTTTGATAGAGAGTACTTCCCTTTTAATGTGCCTTACACGCGAAAATCCGAGTAAGTCGATGCACCAATGCGAAAACTGAATACTAGGTGGAAAAAGAGAAAAGAAGAATGCATCTACTTTGTAAATTGCAGTTTAGGAAATAGTTGAACATTAGGCAGAGTTAATAGAATGCTAAGACTTCATAATGGCGTTTAGCCTAGAGAAGTTTATTGAAGTAAAAATTATTTATTTTCTTGTTTAGTTATTGAAATAATTCTAATTTCAAGAAACAACCCTTTTTTTTTTTGGAGAGACCTGTACTATAGGCAGTCCAGTGCACCCACGTTCACACAGGATTCGAGAAGGAGTTGCACCCACGTTCACACAGGATTCGAGAAGAAGTTGCATCCTAAGGGGGTATAACATAGACAGCCTACCCTAATGCAAGTATCAGCGGTTGATTTCAACAACTGTTTACTTCTTTATATTATAACTTTCTTAATGAAAATTCTGGCTCCGTAACAATATTTAAAGATACTTTAGCAGGACTTATGAGCACAAGTAGAGAAGGGGACTGGAGGATCTCCTCCTTATGTCCAGTAATGACTAAACAATGATAAAAAAACAAAGAGACATAATTCTAAATATTCCAATTCATAGGGGCTTTGGTCGTACTGAATAATTTTGATCCGAACCCTATATTTATTTTTAAAACCTATTGAATATGCATAAATTATCAATTTCGAACTCAGTAATTTAAAAAGATTAAAATTCTGAACCCATAAACTTCAAATCTTGGCTCCGTCTCTGCCAATTCATATTTTTTGAACTGGGATTTTATGATACCATTTGGTTAGTAGTATTATTACATTGAGAAATCTAGTCTATCTTGCCTCAAGAATTGTTAGTGACACTGTATTTTCAGTGATACATCTTTCATCAGTTGATTCAGTTGAATATCTTTCAATAAAGAAACCAGGCTGCTTTGGTTGAGGCAATTTCACACCTTCATTGCTTAACCAGAAAACTACTGATTCCATTGTTGGCCTATCTTCTGGGAATTTTTGTACACATAGTAAACTTACTTGAATGCATCTTATCACTTGAGATTCAATATAGGATTCTTTTAAACATTCATCCAGTAGTTCTAAGGCCTTGCCTTCATTCCATAGTAACCATGCCTGAAATATTACCACAACATAATTTATACATCAGTATTAGAAGAAGAAAAAAAGGCTACAACAACAACTATAGAACTATTCGACGCCTCAGTCCCAAACGCGTTATGGTCGGCTATGTATTGAATCCTGAATAACCATGTTTCTTCATTTAAGCTTATATGTTGATTGTGTGAACAAAACTCCAGATTGGTTGCTGAAAAGATTGGGAGACTACATATAAGGTTTAGGGATCTCATAATGGTATAAGCGTGGGCGGATTTAGAGGACGTCAGGAGGTTCGCCCCAGTCCCTTCGCCAGAAAATTACACTATACATATAAGGCAAAATCTGTTTTGTGCCCCTTGACACAGTCCAAAAGCATGACTTAGTAGTCGAAGGGGTCAATACCTTTGTGAGGTCGCCAGTTTAATTCTCATTGGTCACAACTTCTTTTTTTTTTAACCGCCTACGTGGAAATTTTGTCTCCGCCAGGGGGTATGAGGTCTTTTGGGAAAAACCGTATGGGCTTGACCCAAAACGAACTATATCAGACTTACGCTGGTTGCTCGCCTACTGCAACCCTCTTCCTTTATCTGGCTTGGGACTGACAATATGACCAAGCTCACAAAGTCGGAGTTTTCAGTAAAAAAAAAAAAGGGTAAAGGATCAAAGTTTTGGTGATATATGTACTTACATGTCCCAAAAGATTATGATGATGAATCAAATGATGAAATTTCCTGTTCTTTCTGCCACTAACAATTTCAAGTAAAAGCACACCAAGACTGAAGACATCAGATTTCACTGAAAATTTCCCATCAACTGCATACTCTGGGGCCATATATCCGCTGCACGACGCATCAAATTTAAGTTGATGAACTGTTGATAATCTCAAAAACTCAATCATATAGCTAAAATATTGAAACTTACTATGTTCCTATTACTCGCTTCGTTTTTCCTTCCATTTGATCTCCAACAAATATTTTAGCTAGGCCGAAGTCAGAAATTCTTGGATTCAAGTCAGTATCCAATAAAATGTTGCTGGTTTTTAGGTCTCTGTGAATAACTCTTAATCTTGAGTCCTGATGAAGATAGAGAAGGCCTCGAGATATTCCCATAGCAATTTTAAAGCGATTTCTCCAATCGAGTGATCCTTTTCTGCGTGAATCTGCAATATGTAGTTCATTAAGTAAAATGTCAGTGAATCCTAATTCATTCCTAGCACTTCAGAAATAAATATTTACTACTAAGCTCCTCCAAAAATGTCGTGGCGCCCGTGTTGAATCCTCCAAAAACAGTACGTACATCTTTTGAGGACCTGACACGGGTGCAGCAGCAATATTTGGAGGACACGAGCAACACGGAATATAGGTAACTAGTCAAGAGAAACATACAAACAACAACAACAACAACAACAACAATGACGACAACAAACCTAATGTAATCCCATAAGTGGGATCAAATCCTCCAAAAATGTCATGCGCCCATATTGATTCCTCCAAAAACAGTATGTACAACTTTTGAGGATCTGACACGGGTGCAGTAGTAATTTTTGGAGGATACAAGCAACATGTTATATAGGTAGCTAGTCAAGAGAAACATACAAACAACAACAACAACATCAACAAAAAAACCAGTGTAATCCCATAAGTAAAGTCTGTCGGTCTGGGAAGAGTAGTGCGTACGCAGACCCTATAAGCTAGAGAGGATGCTTCCAGCAGACCCTCGACAGTCAAGAGAAACATACCAAAAATAAAATAGTCCAAGCTATTGTTAGGCATAAATTCATAGATTAGCATCCTTTCTTCTCCTTCAAGACAACAACCCAAAAGCTTGACAAGATTTCTATGTTGTAGTTTGGATATTAGAATCACTTCATTTTTTAACTCTTGAAGACCTTGTCCTGAGTATTCCGAAAGCCTTTTCACTGCTATTTCTGGTCCATTTGGTAGTTTACCCTGCAATTTTGTCGAATCAACGAGTCAAAGATGTCATTTCTAGCTAAATTTTGAAAATGGAATTCGTAATTGTACCTTATAAACAGGTCCAAAACCACCTTCTCCGACCACATTAGCAGAAGAAAAGTTCTTAGTAGCAGTTGCAACAGTAACTAAATCAAACAATGGTAACTCCATATCGTCCGTTCCAACTTCTCTACCTGTAGAATAATCAATTGGTAATATCTACGAAACAGAACGTTAGCAGTACGATGTTTTGATAAAGGTGAACGATAGTTAATTTACCTGTTCTCTTTTTTCTTCTGTGGAATGCATACCAAGCTAGAAGGCCGAGGACACAAGTCGCGACTGCTGCTGATATGATTGCAATCAGCCTTGACCGCTTTCTCTTTCGTTTCTTGTCTTGATCTGTTGATAGTTAGACCATAAATAAGATATCAGCCCTCAGTTTCTAGTTAGAATCGAAAATAGTAAGTGCCTTCTCCGTTTCAGTTTATGTAAACTTTTTTGCTTTTCGAGGTTCAAACTATGTAAGCTTTGACCAACATTTTGAAATGCATTTTTCAACGTATTGACATGAGAAGCATTGCAACTTATAGTACTTTTCGTATAGTTTTTGAATATCTGAATTGTAACTTTAAAATATTGAGTCAAATTGACTTTTAAAGAGCGAAAGGTTCATATAAACTGGAACAAATAGAGTAGTAGAGTAAGTAGTTATTACCTACTTCTGAAGCAGCGACTCTCACAAACAGATCTTGTTGATTCGCGCTAAGCTCTCTCATATCGATGAGATCACCAAACCATAGTAAGCATCCACTTCCACCATTTCGAACATCAAGATTCGAATAGGCTGTACAGTTGCAATAAGCCAAGCACAACGTCTTGCATTCCTCGAGTCCAATGCTTCCATTATACCATGATTTCCGCGTATCAGGCACTTTAATACCCGTAAATGTCCTAAATCCATCTTGTTGACAAGCCAAAGGACTTCTCCTTACACATCCACTTGACCAATCTGCTACATCCCATTGTTGCGGATACTTTGGCTCGAAACCTCTCAAACATTCACACGGGGGCGAGTTATTAATCACACATCTTGCATAAGGACCACATAACGCGAAACGATCACAGTTATCAAACTGTGCTGTCAAGTAAAGAAACCAACTTTCTGTACGATCGATCCAAGTATAGTGATTTATCAAACCACCAGGAGTCAATACAAGCCTAGTAGGCATTGATCCATTTTTAAGATCATATTTGTAATAAACTTCCTCCTGATTCAGGACAAACCCGAACGAAAAATATGTATTTGGTTGTAATTTAGGACTTCCACTAAATGCAAGACCATTCCAGGGACCTGAACTAAATGAAATAGAAGAACCTTTCCATACAAATAACTGTGGATATCCCTGAATATCAAACCTGTCAACATATTCACCAGTAGCAGGATCATCCATACTTTTCCACGACGAAATGCACCAATCCAGGCCTGTTACAAAATTTCGCCCGAGCTTCATTCCAGGTAACAAAGTATCCCCTGGATAATCAAAACTTTGCCAGACAAAATTTTCAGGATCACTATTATTTTCATCCCTGACTATAAAATTCCCTGAATCTAATAATCTTGCTATTGGATTCTTCAATATTTTTGATGAATTCGACGACCAAACTGTCGCGTTAGTACTATTGATAAGTACTAGGATTCCTTCAGGATTGAGCATCAACACTCCTGTTGTATCATTTAATGGACTATTTCTGTTGGCAACCCAAACAACAGTTCCAGCTGATATCTTCTTGTACCATATACCGACGTAGCAATTCGTCGAATTTCCAGGCCTGAAAAATCCAAGTTCATAAACCCCACCAGGTGAAATAATTGTGTCACCATCTTTAAGTTGTTGATCAATAGTTATGGTGTCTAATGCTGTGGAGATTAGTGCAATGGAAAGAAAATTGAAACAGATGAATAAACAAGATAGAAAATTCATGGATTCAATTTTGAGCCTTTTTTCAGGTGTGGCTTTTGATTTTCAAGAACCTTAGTATAATAATTGATAGAAAAAAAAAAGTATAGTTTTAGTGTTAAGTTGAAAAGTTCATTTCCTGGAAGCCCACATGTTCATACTAGGAAAATGATATGTCAAAAAATTGTTTTTCTTATTTTTCTTGATTAATTGAATGATCTTACTTGTAATGTTCAAATGTCAAGTCTTCTTCTGACTTTATTTTATTTAGCATTGTGAATTTGTAACCACTTCAGGTTTCGACCTAGTTGAAAAGAGTAAAGGCCATAGGCGGACAGGAATTGAAAGTCGAGGTGAACTTTTGAATTCAACCAAAATCTACTTTGTATATACGATGTCCACTACTAATATATCACTATTTTCTAAATACGTATACGTATATATATAAAAGTTTCGCCAAACTTTACGGGTACCAGTGACCCTTTCAGTATAACATAGGTTCGCCTCTGGTAAAGGTGGCTGGGAAGCCATGTACTAAGGTTTTAGTTATGTGCTTCCTCCGTTCCAAAATACTTGTCACTTTTCGCTTCTCAAGATTCAAACTATATGAGTTTTGACCAATATTTTAACATGTATTTTTTTTACTATATTGATATGAGACAGTGACCCAGTATAGTCCCACAAGTGGGGTCTGGTATATTCATATGAGAAGAATTATAAATTATATTACCTTTTATATAGTTTTCAAATATTTTAATTTTAATTTTAAAATATTAAATTAATCGAATCCACTTTAACTTCAAAGATTATTCAAATTAACTCTCAAAAAGCGAAACATGACAAGTATTTTGGGATAGAGGAAATATTTGATACTGCATCGGCTCCATTTTATGTGACATTAATTCTATTTTAATCTTTTTTAACAGAATAATTTTATATCTGTATTTTACCCTCAATGACACTCTACATAGTCACACAATATATATATCTTTTCTTTCTTAAACATCATGTCTCGTCAAAAAATGCTAAATAAAATGAAATGAGTAGAGTAATTAATATTAATAAGAGAAAAAAAATCTTAATGAAATCATTTTTAGTATGTTGAGAAGTTTTCTCTAGCTAAGAAAACAACTTCCATTAAAAAGAACAACGACTTTTTCCTTGCACATTTTCAAATCTTACCCAATATCACTTGCTTTAACCAACAGTTAATATTCTTGTCAACTTTTAATACTAAGAAAAATCACATCTGAGTCTATCATTCACCTTCTACAATTACCTCAAACATTCTTATACCCAACTAAACATTAGAAAATAATATAAAATTAATCATTTTTAATTTAAATTACCTCAATTCTAAAGACCTTTTATTAGGATGTGAAAAAAGATCAAATTTTCAAAGTTGTACACCTTTGACTACTCAATCCCTACAGTTCAAAACCATCTCCCTTTATTCTTCCTAATATTTTTCTTCATATTCCTAGTTTTTTCCTCCCTCTATATACATTGACTTTTGATGGAGAATACCTTCTTTTTATCTTTATCTCCCTTTTAATTAATCTATCCAAAAAAAAAGTACATGGTGCACTAAGCTCCCGCTACGTGTGGGGTCCGGGAAAGGGTCGGACTACAAGGGTATATTGTATGCAGCCTTATTCTGCATTTCTGCAAGAGGTTGTTTCCACGGCTCGAATCCGTAACCTTCGGGTCACGTGACAGCAACATTACTAGTTATCAACATTTATTAATCTACCAACATTTATTTATTTTTGGGATTTTTTCATTCTTATGCACTATTTGAAACTTTATTACCCTTAATGTTCATGTTTAGTAAATACCCGGCATAAACAAGTTTTATTTACAAAATATATACAATCCACCTTTAAAGGCTCCCAATCCATTATTTGTGCCTTCAATCGAGGAATTTACCGAATAATTTTATTCAATTTGCACTTTGACTGTTGCAATTATGTCCTGATACTCTAATTAAGGTGCATCAACCAAGTCACTGTAAATACAAATTTTGCTACCTATTAATTACTATCTCACAATTACACTATTTCACCGTTTTTGCTGATATTTCACCTTATGGATCACGAAGAGGACGATGACTAATTTCCCAGTATGAGTTTTATTGATTTAAAGTGCGGTTCAAGTTGCGGTCCTCCAATCACCAATGACCAAACTAGCACAGTTCTCAGACCTATTGTGAATTGTAAAAATTGAAATGCTTTTAATGGGAGGAGAAATTTCACATACAACAGTTACTCAAAATGAGGAGGAGAAAATAAGTGAATTGGTAGAAAACAGAAAAACAAAGCAACAAATCAGAGATAATACAAATTGGGAAATCACAGTAAATATGGGGGAATTAACTTTCATACAATATGTATTTTGTATATTTTGTATCTGATTTATACATAGTAAAAATAAATTTCATACAACTAATTATATATTATACAATTTATCTACAATTTTCATACATTATTTCTACTCAGTTATATATAACTACAATATCATGCAACTTAAATATAATTTTAATACAATGTTGTTCAACTTTCATACAATAGTTAAATAAATAAAAGAAAAATATATAAACAACAGAATACAATTTTTCTACAATTTTACTACAATTTCGTAAATATAATGTATATCATGTTGTCTTTTTCTTCTTCGAGTTTCAATCTGAAATTCAGCCAAAACCAAGTCTAATCTTCACCAAAATCCCGCAAAATTGAGATATAAACTCCAAATCATATTCTCAATTATTTGCAACAACATCTAATTCAAACAAATAATGATTTTTGAAAACCCAAATTCGAATTCAAAGCTTTAAAACTTTTTAATGGTTGTCAACGGTGGAATTGATGCTCTCTTTTCCTTTGCTTTACATTACTGAAATTAGGGATTTAGAGATAGAGAGAGACGTAGAGAGAATTCTCAATTCTTTGCAACAACATCCAAATCAAACAAATAATGTTTTTTGAAAACCCAAGTTCGAATTCAAAGCTTCAAAGTTTTTTAATGGTTGTCAATGGTGGAATCGTGGGTGGGTGCAAGATATGTGGGGGAGGGGGAGGGGATGTGGAGAGAGAAACGTGGGGGAGTGGAAGATAATTATTATTATTAATTCCCTTAAAATGTACATAAATGGTAATTTGGTATATAAAATGTAATTATAGTAAAATTTGAGTAGGGAGGGTAATATAGTTTCATATAGTGTATAAGAATGTAAAAATTGTTTTATTTTTTTCAGGAAAATGGGCCTAAGAAATATTATAACTAGTGTTTTAAAAGGCGTTTTTGGGGCAAGCCCTGGGGCGAGGCGCACCAAAAATGCTCTGAGACGATGGTGTGGGGCGAAAGTCTCAAGAGGCGTACGCCCAGCATGAGGCTTAATTATTGACAGTATTGATTAGTCGGACTAATTAATTAATTCTGAATAGTAAATGGTTAAAACATTCGTGCAAATGAGATGACTTCTTATAGAGAAGTCGCTGTAACAAATAGAAAATGACTTTAGCCTAAAAGTAAAATATAAAAATAATTAAAATAAAAAGAAAAAGAAAATGGTGCTCAGTCAAAAGGTTGGAGGTCTATTTGGGTTTGGTATCTCAATTTTTGGGACAAGATCGAAAGTCTTGATTAAACAAAAGCGACATCTATTAATATTTTCAACAATGTGGAAATAAAAAAAATATTGTCAAAAGAAAAACAAAAAAAATCATTGAATTAAAGAAATACCAATACAAAAACATGGATAATCTCCTCGTCTCCCTCTCTAATATGATACGTCAAAGCTATCGTCAGCATGACAACTACAAGATTCTTGCAACGAAAAAAAAAAAGAATTTAAAGAGAAAGTAAAACATATAAATTAAAAATGAGAAAATACTTTATAATATCTAGCGGATAATTTTAACATGTTATAATAAATTACTTCTCATCTATATCAGATTACTAACTAATGCTTATTATGAGATTTTAAATTATTTAATAAGTCATCTGGTTGTGTAAATATTTTTATATGGCCGGTGCATAGAATTTAAACTCATATTGAAATCCCAAGGAATAAAACACAAATATTATAGGAACTGCCAAAGAATTTACGTCCACATTTTCTTCTGGCTTATTAACACCATTACATTAAAGAAGGAAAAAGAGGCTATTCAATATACAAGGCTAAAAAATTAATAGTAAGAAAAATGGTATCTCTATATCCAGGGGCAGTGACATCCTTTAATAAGAGGTATCATAAGACCCGCTTCGTAAAAAAATAAATTCTTTATATAATGTGTATAAACAATATTTTCTTAAAAAAATATGCATATACACTATCATACAAAGTAAATCTTGATTCAGAAGGAAGTAAAAGCTGAATTGTGACAACAAACCGATACTGCTTGCACAAAATTGTGTGTACACTACTGTCTATATCGTATATATATTTGGAACGACAACCTTGGCATAACTGATAAAGTTGTTGTCATGTGACTAGGAGGTCATGGGTTCAAGCCATGGAAGCAGCCTCTTATAGAAATGCAGGGTAAAGCTGCGTATAATAGACCTTTGTGATCCGGTCCTTCCCCGGTTCCCGCACATAGCGGAAGCTTAGTGCACCAGGTTGTCCTTTATCGAGCATCCAATGAAGTGATGGTAACATCATTGACAGAACCAGGTGTATGACTACTCCAAGAATATGCAGAATCAGCTATGTTCCTTTCCATGAAAAAACCAGGAGGCTTAGGTTGCTGCAAAATGCTTTCATTTGTCAGCATCAGTACCACAGAAGACATGCTTGGCCTGTCCTCTGGACTTTGTTGAACACATAACAACCCGACATGTATCGATCGTTGCACTTCGGATGTATAACATGATTCAACCGCGTTGAAATCTACTAGTTCCGATGATCTTCCTTCTCTATGAAGCATCCATGTCTGAAAATTTTATGGGAATGTTTACACTGTGTAGCCGCCCATCCAAAAAAAATAGCCACCGGATGTAACATATGTATCATTAGTGTATAACTTATGTATATTGATTAGCGGATGTAAATATTTTTGGCTGAGCGGCCATTTTATATCCTTTTTGCTATCAAGTTCTCGTCCAACAATAATAACAAACCCAGTGAAATCCCACAAGTGAGATCTGAGGATAATGTGTATGCATCTACCTTATGAAGAAGTAGAAGTTGTTTCCGACTATGAAACTTATGATGTTTTATAAGAGGGGGAGACGGGACGTAGTACTTACATGTCCGAGGAGGTTGAGATTGTGGTCAGGATGAATAAATCTTCTGTTCTTCTTTCCACTCACAATTTCTAATATTAATACGCCAAAGCTAAACACATCTGATTTTACTGAGAAAATCCCATCGACTGCATACTCTGGAGACATGTAACCACTGCATAAAATCGTTCACAGAGTTACATAATGTGAAGAACAAATAAAAGGTGTCCAAAAACAATATGTATAACCAGAAATCTAATTTCTTACTACGTTCCAACCACTCGACGTGTATTAGCTCCTGTCTCATTCCCTCCAAAACTTCTGGCCATCCCAAAATCTGATATCTTTGGATTCATTTCAATGTCAAGCAAAACATTGCTAGCTTTCAGGTCTCTGTGTATGATTCTAAGCCTAGAATCTTGATGAAGATACATAAGTCCTCGAGCAATCCCGTTGATAATGTTGAAGCGCTTAGGCCAATCAAGTAATGTGCTCCTACTTTGATCTGCCAAAAGGTATCAACTTGCTTCTTATAATTTGCTACTATAGGTAAGAAAAATGACTAGTGTAACATCAATTTAGAAGTTCCAAACTAACTAAATCAAATCTTGAATAACAGAATTTCTAGATTCTTCTTTCTCAATTTGGTTTGGAGAACATTAGCATATGTTTACACTATCAACTAAGTTGCGCGGACTCTTCTTTTGTGGTGCTGCACTTGTGTCGATACAACACTGACACTAGTATGGGTGTGGGATATGTAGTGGATCTGGTCAATCAACGTTGGGTACTTTGACCACGAGGGCAGCATGCTTTGGGATGCGGAAGAGCTATCATCGTCCAGCTCCCTAACATAAAGTGGTACCTGGTTTGGACCGTAGGGAACCATAGCATGGGGGGACGTCTAATCCTTTTGCCGCTGCAAGGCAAGCTAATCGTACGCAGCAGGCTCGAATATCCCTGGTTCTGGAAGTTACATGAGTCTGAATGCTATGTTGATTGAGATAATATGATTTGGCATATTGATTTCTCAAGGCAAAAGCTACTATAGATTTCTCGATGGCTGCCTACAACTTGAGGATAAAAGATTGAGTTACTGTACTCTATAAGCTACATGTAAGTTTTGTAAATATCTCATAATTTAGGCATATTTTATAGTTCTACTTTTAGATATAGCTGAATCCTTGCACCCGTATTCACACCTAGATCTGTACCCTCAAATCTTAAAATTTAGATCATAAAAGATCCGATCTCTAGATCAGCACCTTTATCGGATACCTGCACCCGACTCCAAGCAACTTAGACTGGCAGTGTCTATATAAGTTATATTCATTTAAGAGGTCTACTGTATTGAAACTAGTTAATGCATTGAAATAATTGGCTGCATTGTATGAACAAAACTAACCAAATATAAATAAATCCAGGCTTTTGTTAGGCATGTATTCATACACCAATATCTTCTCTTCTTCTTGAATGCAGCATCCCAAAAGCTTCACGAGATTTCGATGCTGAAGTTTCGCAATGCAGATGACTTCATTCTTGAACTCATCGTTTCCTTGTTTCGAAGTTTCTGAGAGACGCTTGACAGCTACTTCCTGTCCTCCTTCTAACACACCCTGCAAATGTGCACTTACTATTAGATACTCCAAACAACAATTGACATTCGTCCGACTTCATGTTCTTTTCTCTATTTGTCACCTATGTTTTTACAAACATTTTGTTCTGCAATCAACATCAGCAGAATAAGGCTCATGGCTTGTTCTATTGAGTGAAACATAATGCTATTTTCACTGATTTTCAAGATTTCAATGTATAATCAGTGGAGCATCAACAACAACAACAGCAAACCCGGTGTAATCCCACAAGTGGGGTTTGGGAGGGTAGAGTGTACGCAGACCTTACCGCTACTTTGTGAGGGTAGAGAGGTTGTTTCCGATAGACCCTCGACTTAAGAAATCAGTGGAGCATCATTACTTAGAAAAAGTTGCTTTGTGGCAATCTTTACCTTGTAAACTTTCCCAAAACCGCCCTGTCCGATCTTGTTCTGATTCGAAAAGTTATCAGTAGCCTTTATTAGCGTCGACAAGTCAAACAGTGGTAGCTCAAAATCTTCATGATGTCTTTCATTGCTATCGTTTTTCTTGGATGTGTGTCCTAATCTTCCTGCAATATATGCATACAAGTAGACAGCTTAGACCCGACGGGGAGCCAAAATATTAACTTTATGGGTTCTGAATTTTAGAACGACGTCTTCAAGTACTAATAACTGGCTTCTAAATTTAATATTTGTACATATTTAACATACATTGTTTGAACAAAAGCTACTGGGTTCAGTCGAACTCATAGCTGGGCTTCTAGCTCCGCTCGTGGCTTAGACCACCAAGTTAAAGAACTTAGAGAATCAATTACCATTATGATACTATCTGCTTCTGGTTTTCCAAAGATAAAATTAGTATGTTTCGCTTACCTTTTTCTATGAGCGCTATTTCCTCTCTCCTTTTCTGTCTACGAAGAATCAGGCATATTCCTACGACTAGCACAACGATTGCAACGAATAAAGGCAAAGCGACTGCAAGTATAACAGTTATCTTTCTATTTGATCCATCACTAGAACCTGCAAAAGTTCCCATCCGAAAAGATCAGATAGTTAGTACTTAGTTCGCGTCACAATAGCTTTAAACACAAACGTTGATCGATCAATTCAATGACATCAACTCCTTACTTATTATCTCAGAAGCAGCCATTCTAATATAGATATCCTGTCCAGATTCAGATAGTTGTCTGATGTCAACCAACTCCCCGATCCATAGCAAGCAGCCGCTTCCTCCGTTGCTGATATCCAGATTCGTATATCCCATACACGAGCAATTTCTCAAGCAAACTAACTTGCATTCGTCAAGTGTCATAGTCTCGTTAAACCAGGAATATCGCGTATCTGGCAGCTTAATGCCAGAATACTTAATAAATCCATCTCCTGTACAATTCAGTGGACTTTTTCGGACACAGCCACTGGACCAATCAGTCCTGTTCCAATCATCCGGATGCTTTGGCTCGAATTTATCCAAACAACGACACACAGGATCGCTAAAGATTGTGCAAGTTCCATATGCACCACATAATTTGTAAGTTTCGCAATGATCTGCATCAGCTGAATGGTAATTAATCCAACCCTCTTTCTTTTCCACCCAAATCATACGCATTGCGTTACCATTAGGCTTTAGTTCGAAAGTTGAAATGACAGATTTATTTACTAGTTCATATTTGTAGTAAATTTCCTTACTGTTCATGACTAGCCCGAAAGAGGTGATCGAGTTGTTCACCATGTTCGGTGCTCCACTCCATCGAAGACCATTCCATGGCCCTGCTCTGTAAACTACATTAGGCCCTTTTCTCATTAGGTCCTGTGGATAACCTGTAGGGTCACAATGGTATGTATAATCCCCAGGAGCAGGATCATCATCGCTTTTCCATGAACTAAGATACCTGTTGAAGACATAATTAAATTAAGCAAACAAAAGTATGGTCTCTCTAACAATTTAGAATTCTAGATGGAATAATCACATAATTCAACTTGGTATCAGAGTAGCAAGAAGAGGTCCTAAGTTCAAGTCTAATGTAACAGCGCGCGAGCCACTAGTAGTTAATGCGAAAGGGAGTTCTCCAAGAAACTTGCCTTTAGGCAAGTCTCACATCAGAATAAAGGGTAGCGCGGTGCACTAAGCTCGCAGGGTCCGGGGAAGGACCGGACCACAAGGGTCTATTGTACACAGCCTTATCCTGCATTTCTGCCAGAGGCTGTTTCCATGACTCGAACTCGTGACCTCCTGGTCACATGGGAGCAACTTTACCAGTTACGTCAAGTCTTTCATTAGAATGGGAGGGGAAAATTAGGGGTCATATAAGGGCAAGTTCAAGATTTAACTATTGAGGTTTGATCCCAAGGGGACAAAACCGTGAGGCTCAATAAGCCTTAAGGTGGCCCAGATAGAGGTCGGGGCAAAGTGGACAATACCTTGATTGGTGAGCCAGGAATGTGGGGTTCAAAATATAAAAAGTAAACATACGAAAAAGTAGAGTATTCAGCATCTACTATACATGTATAAAAAATAATTTTGACCTAGTATATATAGTGCAATTTTTCGGTTCGAATGAACCCCTTCCGCCCTTGGCTCCACCATGCTTGACTTAGTATATATATAGTGTAATTTTGGCGAAGGGGTTCATCCCCTTCTGCCCCTGGATCCGCCCATGCTTGACATACATCTCACCACCTAAAAAAATACTGAGACGTGCTAGGGGCATGTTGAATACATAATTATATTAAGTAAATAAAAGTATGCTCTCTAAATGTTTAATTTTTTAGATGAAACGATATGACAATTCAACCTACCTTTCCAAGCCAGTCACCAAGTTTATTCCAAGCTTCATACTTGCTAACAAAGTATCAGTAGGATAATCAAAACTTTGCCATAAGAAATTATCAGGGTCATGATCATTTGCATCTCTAACCACCAAATTCCCTGTATCTAGTAACTGTGCAACTGGATTTTGCACATTTCTTGTAAAATTAGTTGACCAAATAGTGTCATTAGTAACATTAATCAGAACAAGAAAACCTGGATTAATAACTTTCAAGATTCCAGAATTATCCTTAATAGGAATTTCTCTATTAGCAACCCAAACTGGAGTAAAAGCTGAGATTTTCTTGTACCAAATATCAACATAACGATTTGTTGAAGTATTTCTTGGACTAAAAAATCCTAACTCAAATGTTCCATCTGATGAAACTATAGTCTGACCATCTTTGATAAATTGAGCAGTAGTTATTGTGTCAACTTGAGAGTAAATATTTTGAAAAAAGGAAAAAATAAAGAGAAAGAAGAAAAATGTATTCATGGTTTTTTTCTGTTTATGTTTTTTGTTTCATGGCAGCTTTGAATTGGTGAAATGAAAAGATGAGAAATTTGTTGGCGACCAAAGTCAATTTGCAATATTTTCTAGTCTTGTTCTGGGTCCCATTGACAAATATATTAATTGGATATTGGCTAGGACTATTTAGGCAGTTCACACATATTGGTCCATTTTTCCAAATTGTTTTTTATAATATGGAAAGTATTAGACAAATTCTTAAAAAAATCGTAAACTACATGGTATTGGTCTTTCCCAATTTTAATAAAACCTCTTTAAATTATAAAATTCAATGCATATAGCGACTTTGGTTTAGGTTATACGGTTAAACCTCTCTATAAATAACATCATCGTTTGTTCCGAATATTTTTGAATGTTACAACGCAGTGTTGTTATAGAGAATATATATTAGAACATAACATGAAAATTGATTCTGGAGAAAGCCTGATTTTTATAGTGAAGTATTGTTATATAGGGATGTTGTTATAGAGAAGTTTGACGGTACGATATTCTCATTAATTTACTAATTCACGTGTTACCAAACTTTAATATCTTTTTTTTTTAAATTAAAAAAATAAAGTTTCACCAAATACTCAAATTACTAGATTTATATCCCTAGATATGCATTTTGATATTTGAAGTATGGTTAACAAATCTCTCAATAGTCAATATAGAAATATTGATTACTCAGTCAACCATGTGTTTACTTAGTCAATGCCTTTCTATATACGTAGGGTTAGCAGTTATTGCACAAAGGAGTATTTTGTTCCTACCAAATTAATTCATATATTCCACTAATAGTAGGGACAGAACTACAATTCCACTTATAAATTCGGCAAATTTCAGTAGTTTTGATTAAAATTTTATATTTGTATTAAAATTTTATTTAATATATAAATAATTTATTAGAATCCAACGAATTGTATTTTCAAAAATCAAGAAATCATAAACTTAAAATACTAGCTTCACCTCTGATTGATAGCAATCTGCACGACCAACATGAATATCATTGCTTTCAAGGCGGAGGTAGCATAGTAACTACTGGTTCGGACAAATTCAGTAGCTTTTACTTAAATCCTGAATTTGTATTAAAAATTTATTAAATATATAAAAATATTTAATTGCGAACCTAGTAGCAAATACAAATTATGATTCAATGACATGAATCAATAACCTTTAAATCTTGGCTCCACTTTAATTACGTTTTGAACCGTTTCACACGAATGTCAAATATAAAAACAAGAACGAGCATTCTTTTTCTATAGAAATCATGACGAACGTGATTACGAGAAAATGAAAAAGGTGCTACAAGTAGCTATCAATGAAAATTAAGAAAATGATATTATATAGACGCTCTCAAAATAATAATTGAAAAAATATATATATTTTATATATATATATATATAAATTATGCAAATTTTATACACTTTTTATTTATATTTTTTCGTTTATCGAATATAAATAATTTCGGGTTAAAATGATACTTGCCCTTGAAAATTGTCCATCAGATTTCCTTTGCTTTAGGCAATACAGTTGGTTTGATATGCTTTTCATAATTCATATGCATTCTCATGGAAAAAGTCAAAACACAAAGTAAGAGGGGAAAAAAGACAATGGAAGTTTTTAATGGGGTTATATAATTTTTTTATGGACGTAAATATTGAAAAAGTGGATCTTAAGGAATGGGATGGATTTACATGCTACACGTTATTTTATTTTATTTTATAGATTTTATGTCTTTTGAATTGCAATTCTTTTGTTAGCAACTCAACAAAGTATTCTGTTTTTGGAGTGTGTTTACCTCGAAAAATGGGGATAACAATTAAATATGATTTGTGGTTTTAAAGATATGTGATTTATTCTAATACTAGTGAATATACACGTAATGTTAGGTTTAAGTAAGAAGAATTGATTAACCAAACCAGTGTTGCTAGAGCAATAAGGACCTCGAGCTCGATTTCCTTGGAGGCCTCGAGGTGAGCTAAGAACAATAAAACATGAACAATAAAGTAAAAGCAATAAAGCTGAAGAACACTTGCTGAGCACGTTAAACAAGAAAAGCATAGAAGAATATTCTATTGCAGTGAATAATGTGTGATACAAATGATTGGGGTCCCTTTTATATAGGAGGAGAAAACCCCAATATAGTACATTCCTAATTGAGGCAAAGAATTCTATTGGTACAGGTGTATAACAACCTAGTACGGACCTGTACCATTTCTTACAAATCTTATCCTTTAATTTATGCCCTGATCTACGTGTCTTTGAGAAATTTTCGCTCTTTCTTGAGTGCCCTCGATGTAGGTCGTGTCAGGCCTTTGATCTGCTTCCTCGAGGTGTGTGTCCTTCAGCCGGGTCCGACCCCTACTCCGAGTCGCCCGGACTCAGACTCATAGCCTAATTCAATACTTCAAAATCGGGCTCCTTGATTTGACCGTATACAGATAGTCTCCGCGTTTCTTAGAATGAAATGATATGCATTTTCTCTAAGTGAAGAACTTTACCCTTTCTTCTATCCTTTCTCATCTTCATCTCTTTCTTCAATCACTCGCTTCTTCCGCCTCTTTAAGCGCTGGAAAACACCAAGCTCATGCTGGAACACCACATCCATGTGCATCTGCATTCTTTAGCTTACAACCATGGCCAAAAACTTTCAAAGACAGTCCCCAAAAAGGAGAAAGCATCATCTTCCTCTGCCTCTCGGCCGGCCACAACGGTGGTGCCGCCAACACTTGAGGAAATCACCCCTGGTGATTGCATCATCAAGAAGGACTTTGGTATTGAGAATCCTCCCAATGTCGAAGGTCGATGCGAGCACGTATCCCAATACATTAGCCTTATAACGAAGTAGCTCGTCAAGGAAGTAAAGAAGGATTGTTGGTGGGGAGACGAGGAAGGTGAAGAAGATGCTCCCGAAGGGGAGGAGACTCCCGAAGATAGGGTCGCTGAAGACGAAGACAACACTCCCGGGGGTGTGACCCCTGGTGATTGCATCTTTTTGCTCTATCCTCGATTTGTGTTGAATTTTATTTTATCCCCGTTTGTGTAAAATTTCGATGATTCAAACACTTAGCTCGAGTATCAATTTAGACTTGTAATAAACCCTTAGGTCTCTATCGCTCAAAATCATATCCCTCAAGGTTTTAGATGATCTTCGATCCAAGCTTAAAATTACTTAGATGTGAGCTCGGAACGATGGGGCCTTTGGGTCCGAGCCAAATGAGAACAAAGTCTCGAACTCCCATAAGCTTTTGGCCCTATATCTCTTTTAGGCTGGTGTCGTGCCCCCTTTTTCTCGCGAAATCGGGTTTAGGACATTTGGGAGGACAACTCGTTCCCCTTTGGGAATTGGGTTTGAATTGGAGAGTCGCCACCTAATAGTTAAAGTGCATTAGGACACTAGGAAGGAATTGATCTAGAAAACCAAAGATTGAGTAAGGGCTAGAAATTATCCCGAGGGGAAGGTGTTAGGCACCCCTCAGGATCCACTAGTGTAGTTCCCGGCCATGCTACAATTGTGACTTTAAATAACAAGTAGGCAAATAGAAGTTTTAAATTTAAGGGGTTTTCACGTAATGGTTGCAAATAGATTAAAATTTAAAGAAACAAAAGGAAGCTGATTTTTTTAGGAAAACAGTTTGAAAATTCTGAAAAAATAAACATGTAAAGGGAGAGGGGGTCATAGGTTTACAAATAATATGGATCACCCCACACAACATCCGGTAATCACTCCTCAAAGAGGGGCTACACGAGATGTTATCGTGTGGTCATCATATTCATATCTACCCTTTCCCACCTCGTTAAGGTATCAAAGCCCGGAATGGTTTCGTTACTTATTGCATGCTATTACCCGCTCCATTCCTATCAGTCCCGGAGGTACTTGGGACTACCAATCCTAAAAGGGAGGGGTATGAGGTTTTGCAGTTTTAAAGGACAAAATTCTAAGGCGGCAATCCAAACATAAATAGCAAGTATTGGGAAAGCATGTAAACAGATACGACTCAAATAAACCTCCTTAAACCAAAGAGAGCATATAGTTTTAGCATGTCTTATACGTACTGATTATGGTCTGATTAAACTTAAAAGGTTAAAGCAGGCTGATTTATCACATATTTTCATATAAGAAGTCCGAATTAGACCTGCCCACTGGTTGTAATTATCAAAGACTAGCGTAGTTATAGTTGGTACCCTAAAGCTTGCCTAGGTGTTGGGCGAAACCTATAGGCATGATATCTATTAGTTTCAGAAATAAAGAAGTAAACTGATTACAGGAAGGTTGCCAGTTTTTTACCAAGTTCTGCAGATTAAACTTAAAACAAGCGAGGCGATTCAAATTTGATTGATAGTTCCTATAGGCATATTTTCTAGGCGTTGTTAATTTAAAACATTGTCATTGGCGTACATGAATCCTATAGGCAGGTCATCTATATGCAGTCGATTGTTTAAGCCTATAAACTCATTTTCCTAGTGACAGATGTAGGTGCAAAATGCAGGAAGTCCTATAGGCATATTATCTATATGATAATGCAAAAGTGCAGAAACCTATAGACATGGTCTCTATATAATGCATAAGTGCAAAAAAACTTATAGACATGGTATCTATATGAAATGCAGAAGTGCAAAAGCTGAAAGCAGGATACATGAATGCAGAAGTATAGTAATCCCCTATGAACATGGTATCTACCCCTTTGCATGCACGATTGACCCTCCCTTTTTCACTAACAGCCCCAATAGTTATTACAAATTATTACAGCCCAGAATGAATAAGAAAAGCAAAATTACATCAAAAATTAAAGTACAACCAAGGGGAGCCTAATTCAGACTCCAGGTCTGAAATATGAGATGAACCAACTCCAAAGATCAGGATCCCAAGCCTTTCTCTTATTTGGATGTGTCAGAGTTCCCTAAGAGCCTCAAATGGACTCCGGGCAGTGCTCACACCCAAACACATACAGGATTAAGAACATAATGCAGTGTGGAAGGGCCAGCCCTCAAGTATCCAAGTTTAAAGGGAACTCAAGGTCCCAAGGCAAGGCTT